TTTTTATAGAGTGGAAACCCAGTGAAACATTCTATAGACTTGAAAAAAAATTGTGCAATAACTGTAAAGCTGTACGCAGAATTGTGTATATAGGCAATATACATATATAAAAGCAAACCCAATATTAGCAAAACAAAACGATCTTTAAAGTGTAGAAAGTTCAACAATAGTATTTTATTGTATTTAAATAATGAACATATAATAACCAGCCTATGCAAATATAATAAGTTAAAGGGTTCGATTTTAAACATAAACCGTCTAAAAATATTAATATTTTGAGAAAATATATGGTAAATGTCGGAACAGTATGTATCCAACAAAATAAAAGCAATTTTAACATGAGGGTCGTGAAAAATATTGTCAAAGAATACAATGAATGAAATTTTAGAAAGACATGCATCAGATTTCGATTTTATTACAAGCCTACATTACATACAAACATTGGCCATCGGCATTGACGATGCTCAATATTAGATATTTCTTCATTAATCAAGGCAAGTGTGGAAGACGCCGGATATTTAGCTGGATCCAATTGATTAAGCATGACAAAAGCAACCACTTTGTGACTGTGAGCACTGGTGTGATTGGCGATGAATCTGTTCATTTCGGCTTCGACTAGTAGACTTTCTGACGAATTTAAACTAACGATGTGGCGGTCAATGTAATGTTTGATTAGTTTTGGGGGTATGTGATGTAAACTTTCTACGTACCGAATGACTCCATTTAAGGTCGCGGACATGAACAATGTGGGATCTAAATACAGTATAATTAGATTTGTGAAGTTGAAATATAAAAAAATATGTGTTATTTCAAAAGTATAACGAGCAAGATATAAAAACATTTTCTCTCGTCAACAAAATTAGAAATAATATCGATATAACATGACAAAAATGTTATCATCACACACGATTAGAGGCCTAAGACTGTGACATTCGTTAGGTCCTAATTCTGATGAATAAAACATTACTGATAAATCACTATTCCTTTTTAAAAATGACGGATGTACGAGGAAAAATAAAATAGCAAAAATTAATAATTCTTAGCTTCGTTGTTGCTTAGATAAATTAATATAGTTATACATTGATATTTTATTATCGTTTTCAAAAAATTAAGACAATATCACGGCACAAAAACTTTAAAGACCATAATATTTAAATTTAACCGAAATCTGATCTTACCGAATGCCGACTCCGAAACAAGTAGAATAGAGGATAGCACGGCACATGCGAAAATAAATTGCTTTGTCATTTTCGTTCAAATTTCCAAGATATCTTGTTCAGCAAGACGATCGATTTTACTTCGAAGATTGTCCGACGGTAAAGTGAAGACAAGTCAAGTTAATTCGGTATTTATGCTCTCAAATCGGATAAAAACGATATAATTTTTTTTTTGGAATCTTTGTACGACAATCTCATGCAAGCTACGTCACGGTTTCACGCGTTTGCCGCATGACCGAATCGTGTTGCCAGCCTGAGCGGAATTATTCTCAACTAGTTATACCAAATGTTATAGTTAGACCGAAATACTTTGTAGTCTAGGCCTAAAAATTTTTAGCACGGAAAATAAATCAGATGAAAGGCATGTATGGCGAAACAGTACTGAATAAGTGTTTAGTTGCCCAATCTTTCAGAGACTAAGACAGCATTTCAGTCCGGTACAGTTAGTATAGGCACACAAACGTTGAGCACACGCCCTATAAATACATATGGTGTCGCGTCCACGTATATATAGTAATTAGAGAAACCATATGGTTTGCTACACAATTTGCCTATTTTTTGTTTGAGATTTGCATTATGTTAGCAGCTTCTAAATAATCTAATGACTGAAGTTACATTCAAATAAGGGATATTCGAATCCGAGTAAAATTTAGGAAAGAACGAAATATCACAAATGACCAGTCATTATTTGTTTAACATTGTCCTTGACGGAAGTTTTAAAACAACCATAAACAGAAACCCCTCCCCGGTAATGTGAAATATTGAATTGACATTTTCTACAGTTAATGTCATTACCTGCTATCTACATATTTTTGCGCATTTTTACATTGTTATTCCCAGAACGTGAAAATAGCGCGACAAGAATGTTGAATTTGTTTATTTCTTCAAACCACAGTGAATAGCAAGCAGTAGCACTGAGTCAATGTAGGCTGGTTCTTCGAAGTGTTCGGTCTACCGCTAGAAAATATCATATCTTTATATGGACGTATTGTCATCAAAAGAGTTATTATATCTTAAAGATTTTATTTTTTGTCTGATATTTTTACGTAACTACCGAAAAATTGGTATTCAAAATTCAAATATCTTTAAATATAAACACACTTCTTTGCGAACAGCATTAGACAAGCAGACTATTGGGTCGGAAACTATAGGATGGCAGGGGTGAACTCACTCAAAAGTAAAGGAGAATCGTCTCTGAAGGAAATTATGGAATACCTCCCAAGTGCCCAAATCCGGGGGCGTAACCAGGAATTTTTTTAATTTAAAATTTAGTTTTATTTGTTACTTCAGTAAAAAATCATTCAACATTAAAGTTTTGACACAAAATATCCACATGACAGGTGTTGCTCCGTCATCGGGTCCACATCACCTTAGGTCGGTGGTAAAGATAATGGATTTTACAATCCGCATGTTTCAGATCGGTTTACGCGATAACATTGTAGTTTACAATAACAACAAAAAATAATAATCGCGTCATCGCGAGGACAAGGAATAAAATATGAGGATCATCGTATCATCTAACATGGGTAAGATTACGGTCAATACCAAACCATAACTTTACCTTACGTCACTATTGCGTTACCTAGGGGAGAGTATTTTTATATGATCCAAAGAAAAATTTCAGAAATTTAAGATTTAATGAATGAACCAGGGCGGGGTTTCCCAAACTTTCTGTTCATCGGTACTTCTTGGAGAATTTAAGATTCCTTCATGTCACCCCAAAATTGTCACACTTGAACTGCGAAGTGGACATGTTAGTTATTGTATTTGTAGTAAACACTTCTATACCGCAGTTAAGGAGAGAAAGCGAAGAAGCCTTATATTTGATTTATAATGTACCCATTGAAAAGTAAAAATGTACACCCCGGGGTGCACGTACCCCAGTTTGGGAAGCAATGAGCTTGAGCGTTTCCAACAAGTGCGCGGTATTCACCATTGATTAACCTTGTAACTTGAAGTGTATCGACAAACATTGATATTCTGCATGTTTTAGATTGGTTTATCCGATATAACACTGGTCGAAAAATAAACATTCAACGAAAATTAATAATCGTATCTGAATGTCAATCAAATTATATGGCACGATAGAAAACGATAGATTATATCAGTGATTACACACTAACAACTCTATGAATCACTTTAACCGGGAAAGGATTCTCGTTTACTGTTGTTTAAAACTTTCGCCAGAAACAATGTTAAAAAAGCATTAAATACAAGGCCATTTTCATGTAATTTTATCCCTTGGCCATTTTATTTAAACCGGTTGTTTGTTTCACAAGTTGACATACTTTATTTTCTAGAGTACATCTATAAAACATATATTAAGGTACAAGCGAAAACACCGGATTGGTAACATATAAAAAAAGTCAATATCGCGAATATCTGATTGACTCAATAGCAGAAGGCGTAAAATAGGTAATGTACGCTGGTGCTTTGAAGTGTAGGGTAAACGCTTGAATTTTCCGTGCCCAATGGATACCACTTATTCATTTAATTTAATTTAATTACAATATATTTTAAACATAGGATTACCTAGGATTTCATCAAATTATTTTTGCTCAAAACACAATCTTGAAACCTATTAACTTATACTACACTTCAATTGCGCAACATTTTCAGAAAATGTTCACACGCCGTCCGAAAACCTAGTGACCAGGATAAAACTCGGCAAAAATATATGCTCCAGGCGTTGATATCGAAAAGAATTGCTAAACAGAATGGCGGAAAAAATGGCTTCGATCTTGCCAATTGTAATGTCCATAAAACTGCCCCGAGACGATGGCTTATATATATTATTTGAATTTCCATGACTAAACGACTACTCCAATTAGTTATCGAATATGTCCCCAAAGAAGTGAACGATGTATTTAATGTATATAAACAAATGCAATTCCATTGCGTTTGCTTCTTGAAAATATATTTACGTGGAAACACTTTCCAGGAAAATTTCACCATTTACGGTTTGTATCACGACCATAATATAGCGCCATCTCGCGGTTAAGATATTGTAAAGTTTTAATTTATTTCATTAGAAAGAAAAGATTACTCTCGCGCACAGGATTAGTATTATACGTGACATACGCGTTAATGACGACCAAGTTAACAGTATTTCTATAAACGTGTATACAGTTCGGGATTCAGGGTGTTACTAAGTCGATTTTTCGTTTGCCCATCTATGCATGTTTTGGTGCCCAGGTATGCATGGCTTAGATTGTATTAATTGAATGCTGATACGCTAAACGAACTGGAAAGCGACGTTACATTTACAATTTTTTAACGTCAGCAAAAGTTGTAAACAACAATAAACAAAAATGGGTCTCGGTAACGTCAAATATTGAGTTGTAAGTGTGTTATCTATATGTAATCCCTGGTGGCTTTAAAGTATATAACTTGTTTTGTATATACTTTACCAATGTGGTTTCTTGCTAGTACCTTCATAGATACATGTACCTTAATAGATGTTCGTTAGAAAATTAAGTATTCTGACTTGTGCGACAAACGACCGGTTTTAAATGAAATGGCCGAGACATAAAATTACATGAAAATAGCGAAGTATTTACTGATTTTTAACATTGTTCACGGAGAAAGTTTTGAACAACAGTAAACAAGAATCCTTCCCGGTTAAATATTGAGTTGTAAGTGTGTAATCACTGACACAATCTGGTATAAACTCTTTTGCGCTAAACATTGTAATGTCATGCTAAGATAATACGAGCGATGACAAGTTTCAACCTTAAAATAAAAACCTGATAATATTAGATCTGGCTACAAATAAACACAAAATTATAGCTGCATCAAGCATATATTTCCGTGATATAATCAGACAAAAAAGTATCAGCACTATTAGAATAAATGTATTTCAGCTCATTGTTATTTTCATCCATTTAGTTGGGAAATACAAAAATTGAGCTTTCAATAATAGATCACTAAATTCTGTCGTAATAATTACATAAAATGAGCTGGAAATGTGGTTGAAAAAAAATTAAAATTGCGCGGCTTCACAACCGGTCATAAATCATTTTGTTTGTAATCTTAATTTCGGTCAAAAGAATAGAAACAATAAATGCAGCATCATTGAATTGAGATACAAGTTTTCATAAAATTCAAAACTCAGTTGAAATTCTACAATTGGAATGTAAAATATGATAAAAAGCAATGGATTATAAAACACGATAAATCATGTAAAGATGTATCCACAGATTCCAAGTTTGTTTTTTAATCCAGTGGATTTCAAACTTTTTGTAGAATGGAAACCCAGTGAAACATTCTAGAAACTCGAGGTACCCCTTTGCAATAACTGTATAGCTGTACGCAGAATTGTAAATAGACAATTTATATATATATATATATATATAAAAGCAAACCCAATATTGGCAAGACAAGATGATCTTTAAAGTGTATTGATTGCATTTAAACAATGGACATATAATAATATAGAATTTTGAATTTGAATGTAAACTTGCGGACTATACTATCGGAACGCTAGGATGTCGCGGGACCTCGGTTGAAAACCAATGATTTAGCCGATTCTGTACTTCAGAACTTGGGGCACAATGTTAAATATTTTATCGGAAATTTTCTTCCAGTAACAAATTATTTCGGCCTATGCGAACATTATTGAAAACAAAAATTGAGATGATCCGATTTTAAATACAATCATCATATTTTAAACAACTAGAAATATCAATAATTTGGGAAAATCAACATTACATTGCCAACAAACGAAAAGCCAATTTGAAATGTAAGTCATGGATTTATATTTTCAACAATACAAAAACTAAAATTTCATACCAAATGCTTCTGATTTTAAGTTTGCTGCAAGCCTAGTATATCTCTAAACTTTTTCCATTCGAGCTTATTTTGGGGTGGCAAATAAGACAATTCAATATCAATCAAGTCAAGTGTGGAATACGCTGAATATGAAGATGAATCTAATTTATGTCGCCCGTAAAAAGCAAGGATCTTTTTACCATTTTGGAATTTGCTTCTGGAGATGAATTCATTAAGGGAATCTTTGAATGATGAAATTTCTTCTGGACTTTGTGACAATACCCTCAGTATGTACATATCACTGAGTCGTTTGGCGTCTTCTGGTCTTCCCGATTCCACGTATGAGGTGGCAAATTTTACGACGAATGACTCATAGTCCTGGTATAGATCTGAAATCAATATAATCAGATTTGTGAAGTCAAAATATAAATAATAAATTTAAGAGAAATTGTAGGGTATAGAATATACAAAGCAGTATAAAAACAGATTTCTTACATCAACTAGAGTGAGTAAAATAAATATACAACATATGGTGCCAAAAAATTATCTTCGTACCGTACGTCAGCATTTTCGGCAAAAAATTTTTGTTAGAATAACTTTCATTTCTATATATTAGCAATGTGGAAATTTTTTCATATTTTTCCACATATTATCATATATTTTTATGTGCTTAAATGTAATCTAATTCACAATATCATGATCAAATTTAAATTTTCCATATTTTTATTCACTGCAGTAGTTCATGATAGCTTATGAATCGCTGTTAATCTCTATCAACATAAATTATATTGGAATTTGTGAATAGTACTGAAATATCATCTTACCTGTAGCCGACACCGAAACAAATAGCACGGCACATGCGTAAAGAAATTGCGTCGACATTTTCGTCCAAATTTCCAAGATATTTTGTTTAGCAACACGATCGATTATACTTCGAAGATTGTCCGACAGTAAAGTGAAGAGGAGTCAAATAGATTCTGTATTTATCTATAGTCGCAGAACAAAATGAATCATTTTTTTTTTCTCCTTGAAATCATACGTCTAACCTAAACCAGTGAGAGTATCACTCGCTCGCCGCATGATAAAATCGCGTTGTCAGCCATTGTTCATAGCGAAAGCTGTAAACAACAATAAACAGAAATTGAATTCGATAACGTCATATATTGAGTTGTAAGTGTCTAATCTATATGTAATCTCTGATGGTTTTAAAGCATACTTGTTTAGTATATGTGTTACAAAGTCGGCTTGTCGCTTGTACCTTCATAGATGTTTCAAGATAAAGTATGCTTTTGCGACAAACAACCGGTTTTAAATGAAATGGCCGAGGATTAAAGTTACATGAAAATAGCGTAAGATATACTTATTTTTTTATCTTTATTTCTTGCGAAAGTTTATAAAAACAGTAAACAAGAATCTTTTCGCGGTTCATGTCATATATTGTTGTGAGTATTCACTGATATAATCTGTTATTTACCGCTTCAATTTAAAAAAAAACGTGGTTGACATCACAATAGAATTACTAATTTTCGTTGAATATTTATTGTTGAACCAGTTTTATATCGGATAAACTAATCTAAAATATGCAGAATGTCATATTCAGTATATCAGCATTGGCCAAGTTTGGGCCGAAAAAACGAAAAGCGGTTTAGCCATTTAAAGAACAAAATATTTATCTTGGTTTCAATCCCCATCGTACAGAACATTGTTCGCAGCGTAGGTTTTATTATCATTCCATTAAAGAAAATCAGAACGAGTCAGTGACTTACTATGTAACATACTGATATCGGCAATTGATCCAATACTTTAAACGTGTAGACAGAAATTCTCATCGCCATCTCAAATTTATCCAATCTATCCTTAGCATAAGCCTGACCAAGACTTAATTCAAGGTAGCTTCTTCATGACACAAACATATATAAACTAAATGGAAACCTTTTACTACGGTTTACAAATGGTAATATCAAGCAAGATAACACTATCAATATTAAATTTAACCTTCAAATAAAAACCTGATAAAACTATACAACTGGCTACAAATAAACACAAAATTATAGCTGCATAAACAGTTTATATATTTCCGTGATATAATCAGACAAAAAAGTTCAGTCCTACCAAAATAACTCTATTCCAACACATTTTTCATCGTTATTTTCATTCATTCAGTTTTGAAATACAAGAATGGGACGCTCAAAAAAGTACACCACAGCAATAACGAAGAAATATGAGCTGTTAAAAAAAGTTGGAAAAGATATTGCGCAATTACACATCTGGTTACAAATTGATATTTTTTTCAATCAAAATCATTAAAATTTTATAAAGCACTATAACAATCTATACAATCAAGCAGTCACCAAATTACGAAGCATGTTTTCCTAAAATTCAAAACTCAGTTTAAATTTGACAAGTCAGATCTGAAATATCATAAAAGCAATGGATATCTGGTATTTGATTGCATTTGAACAATATACATATAATAATATATTTTTTCGGAATTGAATTTAATCTTGTGGAATATACTGTCAGGACGCTAAACTGCCGCGGAACCTTGGTTGAAAACAGCTGATTTAGCCGATCATGTACATCATAACCAAGGCAAGATTTGAGATATTATATCGAAAGTTTTTCTTCAACTTGGACTACAAATAAGAATTCCATTTGCAACTTTTGCGGACATAAATGAAATATAAGCGATACATATCTATTTTGAAAGAAAATCTTATGCTTTCTATTTTAGTATGTCGCTAACAAAATAAACGGAAATTCGAAATCAGTTTTACGAATTTATACAAACAAAAAAAAAATGTTCACGAAAACATGCTTCTGGATTCGACTCCATTACAAGCCTATAGCACATGTACAAATGCTTGCCATTTAGGTTGATTGATGGGATTAATCTTAGATATTTGATAGGCAAACCAGAAAGATATGGCAGAAATCGGATAGAAATATGGTTCTAAGTTATGAAGCATGTAATAAACAACCATCTTGTCTTTGGGATAAGGGCAGTTGAGCCCGATGTTATCGGTTAAGGCGAGGACTAGTGGTTATTGTGACTAACCCAAAGAAGCAATCTGGCCGCTAATGTATGATTTAGCAAACTTTGGATCTCCCTGTTCCACGAATACGATGGCCGACTATACGGTCTCCTCTACAGCAGTGCTCCGCAACCGGTGTGCCGCGGCGCACTGGTGTGCCGCGAGACGATGCCAGGTGTGCCTCACAGGAGTTGCAACTTTTCCCCTTCTTTTTACAAATTTTTTTTTTTCATCCTTTGTTAATTTTACGTTAGTCTACTACTCTAATCTACTAACGTAAAGTTAACCTGCTTTACGTTAGCTTGAGCGACACCAATTCAAATTCCTGACTCCCCCACTGTGCATTTGTTACGTAACAAGGAATAGTCCTATATGTCAAGCAGATATATTGTAAAGCCTATTGTCGAGGCTAAAACATAGCACGTGTAGTAATAGAATATAAATAAAACTCAAGCTTAGAGAAAGAATTGCGTATTCGAGAAAAAAATTTGTTTGAAGTAAGAAATGACAGAACGCTAAGACTGAAATTCAGCAAAATTCCACTTTATGTGTTTTGGATTTCAATAAAAGAAAAATATAAGCACATTTCCAATGCAGCTATTGAAATATTGCTCCAGTTTTGCACTACTTATGTGTGCGAACAAAGCTTCTCCTCTTTATTACTGATCAAAAACGATTAACGATCCTATATAAAAGATGTTGACGGCGAACTTCGAGTTGCTCTTTCACGTATTGTGCTCATTAAAACAACCACAAATCTCTCATTGAAATATGAACATAAAACCAAGTTACACTTTTTTTTTTTTTTTGTTTGTTGAGATGTGCCGTCGAATTTGGCAAGATTTATAAGTGTGCCGCAAGTTTAAAAAGGTTGCGAAGCACTGCTCTACAGTACACATTTACTGGGATCTAAAAACCAGACAATGAGTTTGTGAAGTCGAAATACTGCACAGCGTGTCTCAAAAGTAGGTATACACTTTTAATTTGGATTTGCTTTTCAGGTACTCATCATATAGCGTTCATTTCTTCAGGAAAGATATTATGAATAAGTATTAAAATTTAGGTATTGTTTGCTATTTTCAACAACCCACAGAATGACAAAGAGATTAACCCAAGAAATGAAGGAAAAAATTGCTGTTTGGCAATAGATTGGAAATAATTCGGCTTCTATATGACGAATAATTACGCAATTCATCGTAAATTTATGGAAACTAGATCTTTAGTTGATGCCCCAAGGAGCAGACGTTCTGAGAAAAACATCCGAAGCCGAATTAATTATAAATTCTCTGTTAAAGAGACGCTAAGTTCGCCTTACTGATTTATATGCTTCTTGCCATTCAGCAATTTTGCTCCTCATTTTTTGAGTCAATCTCCTCAAATTTTACTACATATCCATAATATGTTTCCTGAAGTAATAAACGCTCTATGATGAGTACCTGAAAAGCAAATTAAAATTAAAAGTGTATACCTACTTTTGAGACACCCTGTGGAAATAAAAATTCATATTCGTAAAATTACGCATAAAATTAAACAAACAAGTTATAAAAAAGTTTTCGTTCGACAAGCATAATTGATAAAAATAAGATACCACTTTAATCAAAATAAATTCGCCTAAGATATTACAGATTCAGATAATTTATTTTCGTCGTGCATGAAACATTGTAACACAAACAATACTAAATTGGCAAAAGAAAGAAAAAAACAGATAAACAATGTTTCAACTGCAATTAACGAGGAGTCGCGATAGACTATAAAGTCATCGTGTCAGCGACACCAAAAATGCTGAGTTCAGCAGCAGATGACGTCCAAAAACGTCAAATAATTTAGCTAGATTTAAATACGTACAGAGGAAAATTTGGAAACGTAAATCGAATCGAGAGAGTAAGTATAAAGAGAAATGTTTAAATTTTAAATTATGAATGGACTCGAGAGGGTTGGTAGAAATGTTTAAATAGGAGGAAAAGAAATATCCATCGTGTCGAGCAAAGTGATTTATAGTCACTTTGGTGTCGAGTAAGTCAAAAAGACGCGTTTACGGCGATTGAACAAGTCAGTTTTTGTCTCGTAGCGTCATGCGCGGGTGAACACAGTAACAAAAATGAAATTGCGGTCAAGCACGACGCCGCAAAGCCATGGTAACTGAAGGGGTATTCCTAGCAGCCACAACAAGGGAAGCCGGTTTGGGTTATACTGATAGAGCAATATATAAATAATTTTCAGGCAAGAGAAGTCTTTAGTGGCAAATTCACTAATTGAGAAATATAAGCATCGAGGTAAAAAAAGATTTAATGCTTGTTTAAATGAAATATTGTTCTTTGAACCAATGTTAACAGGGAGCATGTTCCAGAGTTTTCATACCCATGAACTTGAAGGAGTTTTGAGAACGAATAGAAGAGTAACGGGCCACATAATAAGAGTTATTGGCAGATGACCGAGTTGCATATGAGTGAATTGCACTTCGTTTCACAAAATACCTAGTGAATGCAACAAGCAATTTGTGTTTATGATGTTGGTGCATGATTTTAAGAACTTCAATTTTATAAATATCTACAATTTTAACCAATTGCATCCCATGATAATGGAGATCAAGTTTAGACCGAGGTCCGGCATTAGTAATAGCAGGTATTGCACTATTTTGCATAATTTCAATTCGTCGCAATAAGGTCTTATTTGCGGTACCCCAGGCTACAATGCCATACTGGATATGAGATTGAAACAAGGCAAAGTAAACCATACGTAGGGTTGAAATTGACGTGTATGGCCGAAGCTTATAAAGCATTCCCACCGACTTCGATGATTTAACAGCAATGCTTGATATTTGAATGTCCCATTGCATATTATTGTCGATATGAATGCAAAGATATTTGTACGAATTAACATTTTCGAGAATAGTGTCCCCAATATGAATATTTAAGCAGTCCCGATGTTTGCACTTGTTAGGAGTTATCAGCATAGTTTTCGATTTATTAGCATTCAATGTCAGTTTGTTAAGTTCTATCCAATTTGCTACCTTTTCTATTTCAGTGTTCACTCTGGACTGAAGCACATAAGAAA